ACATGTAACATGAGTGACCACAATGACAGTCAAACATTTGTGGCGGGGTTACCCGATGAAACTTATTGGAAAATGTTTAGCATAGTACCAGTGGCCACTGCCGAACATTTATAGTGGTGGGGTGTACCAACAGACATCCCCTTATTCCCCACCACCAGAATTGACCTACATTAGGTAATGAGTTAACCTGATGAAACTTACTGTAAAATTTCATCGTAGTCAAAGTTATTATGAATGGCCGCCGCCAGACAATTCTTATTCCCCGCCCCTAAAATTAACCTAGATTATCTAGTATTATCTAGTAAGTTAACGTGATGAAAGTAACTGTGAAGTGTTCGGCATTGTGGTGGGCAAAGTGATAGAAAACCACTAGTCTTTTACGGCCCGACACTGATCACCTGTAAAAAGTAATATTAAAACTGAGAATCAAATGACATAAAAGCACTGCATGAAGGTTTTTGGAAGCACATTTGAAACATCAAAGCTAGGTTTCGGCCCTCTGTTAAATCGAAAATTCACTTTGGCCCCCTACTCTAAATAAGAGTCTATTATACTGCAAGGATGGAAGTGTGGGTTAATAAGGGTGGGTGGAGAGCCATGAAATTAGCTTCAGACTGGATGGAAAACTTCAAGTAGGCCTACTAATGCTATGTAAATACTATATTATAATCTTTTATTATTTTTAGTAGCCACCATTACAACAGTTTAACAATGAGATTCTATACAGGATTTAAAATTTATAAATGCCCAATATTCAGTAGAGTAGATTTCCCTACAATTAAAAATCGTAATGGTACTGGGTTTAGGAGTTCGTGCTTCACACAGGTTACAGTATTCCATCCGTAGAAGCCTTTTGGTGAAGAAAGTGTACCTTTTTAGGAAGGGTTGCCTAAGTTAAAACTCACTCGGGCTATAAGAAATTAATTATATGCTTGAATTGTTAATCTTATTGTAAGGAATACTACAGTAACTTCACGTTTAATTTTAATTACTGGTTGAATAATATAAAATTCAAATTAAATGTCGTAAGTATATAGTTTGCCTATTTGCCTAATTTGGTTTAAAAAAAATCGAAAATCTTTTTTATTACAGGAATGTTTACTTTATTAAAAGGCTTCTACGAAGGAAATAACCTGTTTGAAACTCATGTAAACTAAACCCAGTTCCATTACAATTTTTATTTGTACTGGAAATTTACTCGTACTGAATATTGGGCATTCATAAACTTTTTCATAATAAAAGACTATATAGTATTGTATGATAGGCCTACATTTTACAAATTCAGGGATGTAGTTGTGGGGGAGGTAGAGGAGTGGCACTGGAGTCACCCAGCCTTGAAGTTTTCCATTCAGTCTAAACCTAATTTCATGGCTCTCCAACCCACCCTTATTAACCCCACACTTCTATCCTTAAAATTCACTCATATTATTTAGAGTAGGGGTGGCCATAATAATCAATTGGAGGGCCAAAGTAAATTTTCGATTTAACACAGAGGGACAAAAACTACCTTTGATGTTTCAAGTGTGCTTCCAAAAACCTTCATGCAGTTCTCAGTTTTAATACTACTATTTACAGGTGATCATGAGTGACGGGCCGTAAAAGACTAGAGGTTTTCTATCACTTTGCCCACCACAATGCCGAACATTTCACAGTTACAGTACTTTCATCACGTTAACTTACTAGATAATCTAGGTCAATTTTTGGGGCGGGGAATAAGGGGTGTCTGGCAGACACACCCCACCATCAGAATTGTC